TCTCAAAATTATATTTTGGTCCCTGTTTTCTAATTTTTCTTTCAAGAATACTTTCAGAATCCAAAATTTCTCTCCTTTTTCTCAAAATTGTTTTCAATTTAATCATCCATCAATTTTATTTCATTTTTACCCTAAATAAAATAAAATAAAATAAAATAATAAAAATTATATTTATCCTTTGTTTAATTAAAAAAAAATTTGTGGGTGTTACAACCATCATGATGTCGGAGCAAAACTCCTCAAAAAGTGAATAATGTGTGATAAGAGTAAAAAAAATGTGGCCATTAATCTATTTAAAGTAAAATTAGACATCAAAATATGTAGTAGTTTGTGCAAGAAAAATTAAGGGGGGAAAATAAAACCAAATATGAAGAAGAACGGCCTTCGTTTAGTTGTATAGGCTTTAAATAGTTATAAAGAAACATCTCTAAAATGAATTTAATAAGCCAAAACCTCTAATTACATGGATTTGAACTAAATGTCTAAAATAAACTAAAGATGAAATATTATTGGAATATTAATCAAAAGTTGCATCATCCATAAGGAACTCTATCTTATTCTTTAAATCTTAAATTTTTATTTTTATTAATCATACATAAAACAAACACAAAAGAGTTCTTCAAAACCATGAGTGAACATACATATAAAACATCACTTGTTTTCCACTATTTCATTTCCAAAATAGCATGCCATATCTAATTAACAACAATCGAACATTCCATTACTCTCTCATTTTATTTTTTTTTGAAAAACAAATAACATTCTGATTTTCTAGTTTAAACGACCCCCAAAAAGCGCCATAAAAAAGGAAAATAAAATAGCTCAATTAAGCCTTAAAATGGCTATTACTAGATTTCATGAGTTCTCAAAATAACTAGATCATACCTAAATTAGACCGAATCCACTATTATAGTGCAAGTGATCTTAAAATAGGTTTATAATATTAATACAAGCTTGAAATATCAAAATAAGAGGGCCTATAATATATTTAACCTTTGGAAAGAATCATAACTAGATTTGGGAAACCATGAGCTTTAAATTTCAAATGATCATGAAACAACTTGGAGAAAATTGTAAATAGTTTTTAAATGGTAAATTAAAGATCAAAAATAGGTTTGGCACCTCCAAGCATGAAAAGATCCCATCAAGAAAAGAATATGGTATCACAACAAACTTAAAGCTTATTTGAAAGCCAAAATAGTTTTCACTAATATCAACTAAGATTATATCTAAACATCGAGAATCAAAGATAGCTAAAATGGATTAGAGGCTTTAGAAAAGGGTTTTGAGTGTGGCTTCTAAGCAAATCTAAATCACTGAGCTAAGTTACTAAGTGGTAAACCATGATCTATCCACCATCAACTTCAAATAACTATCTGTAGATCTAAGCATCCATCCAATTTATTAGTGTATTCAATATGATTCAGGAATTATCTCCAATCACATACATTTCATTCTATCCTCACTTGAAGATCCCAAAAATTCCCAAATTCCCTTCCGCGTAAACTTCATGCGCTGATTAAATTTTAAACTTTAAAAGAAATCAAGCTTACATTACAAGGTGACGTCTTTTTAAGGTCTCATTAAGCTAATCAAAATGATGTTGTTTTGAGGAGCAGAGCGGACTTCATTAAGTTCCTCAAAACGATGTCAGTTCAAGAGGCAGAACCAACGTTAGATAGATGGACTTGAGTAGAAGAGAAATGTTTTAGTTGTATTTTTTTAAAGAGTGAACTAAAAGTTAACTTGATTCAAGTTAAACTACGAAAAAAAAAATAGGTTTAAGCCAATAAATAGAAGGAAATAGGGATAGGCTTGGACATTTTGGTGGAAGCTTGAAACCCCTCTCCTTTGTTTCTTTCTTTCTTTTTTTTTTTTTTGTCTATGAATGAAAAATAAAATAAAAAATAAGAATAAAATAATAATACTGACGGATAAAATTACTATTATTATTATTAATCTATAATTGATTTTAATGGCGGTGGCCTAGCTCAATCATCTACACCCATAAAAATGCTTAAGGGATTCAATAATTGGGAATTTGGGGATGCCCGAGAAAAAAAAGACAAAATAAATTTGCAGATCACACATCAAATCAAAACTAACCTACCCTCACCAATCTTCTACCCAAAAAATAACGAACACAATTATTAACTTTTTCAATTTTATCCAATCGAATTTTCTTTTACTCAACCGCCTCTTTATTACTTTTTTCTTTAAAAAGAAAAACAAAAACAAAAACAAAAATTAGCAGCAGCTGAAAATTCTTAGGAACCTTTTATCATTTTAAGTCTCTCTCTTTTTTTTTTTTTTTTTTTGGGGGGGCCAAGATGTCAACATTTATCCTTCTATATATCATTTTGGTAATTACGGAATTTAAGACAAAATGGGGTTGCCAATACTTTTCATTAGTTTGTAAATCAACACCAAGGGTAATCTTCTTCAATACTTTATATTTTATATTTCTACATTAATTACAGAGCATGGGGATCATCCAACATGCACTTAAAAAGTTCTTCAAGCAAACACAATTTCTTTTAGAAATGAATGTGGCATACTCCTATACTGTCTTGAATAGAACACCTAGTTTGATGCCTTTGTAAGAATTAACACCGGAGTTGGTTACTAGAAAAACATATTATGGTTTATAATTATTGTGTAACATATGGTTGAGCTTGAGGAGAGGGCTTCTCCAATATCTTCTTATGGTGGAGGATGATTGCACTCCCCTACTTACAACTTTTTACAATTTGGAATGTTTCTTGGGGATATTTTGAATTGTAATATTTTCTTAATGGATTCTTTTACTATGCAATCAATTGACAAATGTGTTAGTGGTGCATGCCAAAACTTTTTCTTTTCCTAATTGGAGTGCTTACCACGATGGTTCTCCCTCTAGCTTCAAGAATCGTTGGTAGAGATTTTACCCATTACATATATTGGCTATAAACATTGTTTCAAATTTTAAAATTAATGACAAGTCGGTTTCAACCAATTAGCTCCCTACTATAATACCTAGCAGATTTTGACTTCAGAAAATAATTTCCACACAAGATCTTTGATTTTTTCTTCTTTAAATTTCTACAGGTAATTTATTGCGAAAATTAATTAATTTACTCCTGTTATTTTAACTTCCAGCTGGAAGCAAAAGTGGGAGTGGTAGGTAGACAAAGAGAAGTAGCTTCCTAATTAAGAAGAAAATTCTAAACCGCATAATGAACAAAACGGGATTATCCCAGCTTGGAACCCTAGTTCAATATGGAAAAAACATATATATATATATTAACCCTTATTTTTTAACAAGAAAGGTTGCGTGTAAAACCAATGCACCGTCGCTTATTTAAAGGGCACCAAAGTACACTAATAAGGAACCAATCCTATTACTATCATTCTCTTCTTCATCCCTCTGCATTTTCTTTAATTTTTTTTTTTTTTTTTTTCCTGAAAATACTAAGCAAAAATGAGAGCAAGAAACTGCATTAACGTCTCTTTCTCGTTCATGTTGCTCATTGGAGCAATAATATGTTCAACATCATCAGCCTACCCAACAGGCAAGATGAAGAAGTCATACAAGCCATGCAAGCAATTTGTTCTCTACTTTCACGACATCCTCTACAATGGCAAGAACAAAGACAACGCAACGGCGGCCATCGTAGCAGGCCCGGAGGGAACAAACAGGACAATTCTCGCCGATAACTTCCATTTCGGAAACATAGCTGTCTTTGATGATCCCATTACAGTTGACACCAATCTGCATTCGAAGCCTGTTGGGAGGGCACAAGGGTTTTACATTTATGACACGAAGAACACGTTCACCGCCTGGCTTGGCTTCACGTTTGTGCTCAACAGCACTCTCCATGGCCAGGGCACCATCAACTTCATGGGTGCTGATCCGATTCTGGTGAAGAGCAGGGACATTTCTGTGGTGGGTGGGACTGGTGATTATTTCATGCACCGTGGAGTTGCTTCGATTATGACTGATGCTTTCGAAGGAGACGTTTATTTCAGGCTTCGAGTTGATATTAAATTCTATGAGTGTTGGTGATACGGAACTCCAACCTCTAATCGTTTCTTTTTATCCTTCAAATTCAAAGTGAATTTGAATAATATTAGTGAGTAAAAGAAGAAGAAAAAAAGATGAGCATTTAATATAATGTATCTGGCTAAACAGACCTAATTATCATGGGATTCAACGTTCTCTTGATCATTAATAAATAATTACAGTATGATTTTTTTTTATTTTTAAAAAAGGTAATTTATATATAATGAACTATTGATGTTATCAATTCTTATCAAATTTCTTTTCTTGTTTTTGTTTGTTTGGGCTGATTACTTATCAATTAATATTAAATACTGTATATACGCTTTGCTATTACTTTAACAAAAATGTACGACGTGAGTGGATATTAACTTTTAATTAATATATATATATATATATATATATGTATGTATATCTGTTCTTCGACTCCATCCTCTAGAGCATTATAAATCTGTCTTATATAATGGTTATATATAGATGCAATGCACGTGGATCATATGTTTATTAGTCCGCACTTAATTGATCTCTTTCAAAGTAATAAAAGATATCATATCCATTCATTACATAAATTTCACATGACAAATGAAATGATTTGAGACCAAGACATTTTCTTGCATGATTCTTTTTTAGAATTGTTTATTTATTCAAAATATGATGTATAAATTTCCCCAATCACTAATCATTAATTAATTTTGAATACAATTTATTGTTAATTTAATAAAATTATATTTCTCAATTGTTGTTGGCTTCTCAAATTCAGAACTCTTATTTATACAGGTACATATATATTTATATATATATATATTAACATCTCAAATCCGTATTGTGGACATTCCTATTCTGTAGTTTTAATTTCCTTGGAAGTGGAGTTTTATTACAATATTATAATTATGATTCAATACTTTATATGTTTTATTAATTAATTAAAGAAAATACATTTAAATAATTAAGAGATTTGGGTATGAAAGATATGCATTTAAATTACTAAGGTCAATAAATTTGGTAAGTAAATGGTGTGACAATGTTTCAAGCCATCTAAATGGACTTCCAGCAAACTAGCTATTGCCAGTCAACTCCAATTAAGTTTGTCATTTTCTTCGTGTTATTTCAGTAGTATCGATTTAGAGGATCTCTCGTTCTAGCTGCTTAATTTTCAGTCTTGAAAAAAATCAAACCAAATAGAGGTGTAAATTTTATATTAGTTGTCAACATAAAGTTACATCAGCTTGTAATCGTGCTGGTATAAACATAGATATATGCATTATGCTTGAAATAAAACTGAATTATATGGAGTCGGTTTTCTACTTGTATAGTTTGTGTGGTTTTCCATTTTCAATGGGAAAAAGTTACATATGTAAATTGAGTTTAACATAATTAAATATTAATAATTTTAGAAAGAAGGAATAGTAGTTTGGTTAATTTGATGTGATAGTGTAATGGTGTTAGGTATGCATAAAGAGATATGGTTCATTACTGGCTGCTGACATGTAGTGGTCCAAATTTTCTATATGAAGTAAAAGAAATGAAGCTGTTTGAGATTCCATAAGTTGATTATTCGCTCACAAGTAATTCCTTCTAAGCCAAGCTTTCCCTTATAGAGTTATCAAATGAAAAAGAAAGCTACAACCCTTATACAAGACGAGCTACCTAAAGCCTAAACCTTTTTAATGCGTATTAACTTCTTTGACCTACTTAAAAATGACAATTAAAATATTTATTTCATTTGCTTTTTTTCTTGGTCTTCTTACTCTCGACATCCTCCACAATGTTGAGAGATCAACTTGAATACGTAAAATTGTGTCAAAACTTGATTTTTTATTTTAATTATATCATTTACAATGACAAACACATTAAGAATGTAATACCTACAATTGTAGGTGCATCAGAATGAGACAACAAGACTATTTTACCTTGCCAACATCATTTTAGGGGTTTGGTTATGCTTGATGACCCCATGACTTTAGACAATAATCTATATTGAACTCCAGTTGGCATAGCACAAGGGTTTTATTTATATGATAAGAGAGAGATCTTCACTATTTGATTTACTTTCTCAGTCATTTTTAAGTTTACCAAGTATACTAGAATCCTAAACTTTCTTTGTATTGATAGATTGATAAACAAGACTAGAGACATTTTAGTTGTTAGTTGCACGGGTAATTTTTTATGAGTGGAAGGATTGCTAGATTGATAGTTGGAGCATTTGAAAGAAAATTGTACTTAGTACTCGTGTCAATATTAAATTATAGGAATGTTAGTAACAAAATTGTAATGCACTAACCAAAAACATTTAGCTTAGGTGGTATAATACTTTTATATAGGAGTTGATGACTAAAGCTTTGAGTTTTATCCCTCACCATGTCTTGAAAAGGTTATACTACACTATTTTATGTTGATTACCAACTTTTGTTATGTATGATATCAGTGTACATGCTTTAATTAATTTATTTGCTAATTCAATTTAAGTTCCAATATATTTATTCCCATGCCATTATCAAAAATGCAACATTCCATATTTATTTTATTGTTGAAAATGCAATGTTCCACATTTATTTTCTCTCCTCATTACTTCCATTCTATCTTTATCTAACTATAGCATATATGCGTATACACACATGAAAACAACACTAGTTAATGTCTTTTGATGGTTCTCTCAAAGATTCTTAATACGACAAATCTTAGTATTTTGTATTTTTGTCCAATAATATGCTAATATGGTTGTAAGATAGTTGCATTTATCATGCTTTAATTTGTTATTCCTATAATATGCATGTTAATACGATTGTTATTCTCGTTATCTATTTGGTGCAAAGATTCTTGATTTGAAAACGAATTTACTTGATCTTAATACTTTAAATAAGATATCCCAAGTGTTTTAAAACTTGTGATGTACAATGAACTCCCAAATAGAGAAACAACAATGATTGAATCTCATAATGTTAATTGAACAGAAAATGGTTATCCTAACATTGCCATGAGAAACCATCCATGAGGTAGGTAATTCATTTACGTCTTCAAGCGAGTGAGATAAACTAATATCTTGCCTAGCAATCACTAAAGACCGAATATTATTTCTTCAATTTAATTAGAGCTTATTAGCCAGTTAGAGCATACTATTGGGATTTAATGACTCTTAAAAACGTAAGAGCAAGCTTGAAGAAATATCCCATTGACACTTTAAAGTTAATGGAAAAGTGCATTTATATGTTTATACAGATGATGATTGCCTTAATTGGGTAAGCACTTGTATCTTTAATTGAAACAAAATTATTTTATGTTGTGCAAGATGAAATGAGATTAATTGCAAAAAACCAAATAAAGGACTTAATTAATCTCCCCTCATGGCACAAACTCATTTGGAAATAAGTGGACTATCAAGATTAGTGCAGAATAAATGGGACAATTGATAAGTATAAGGCACACTTAACGGCAAAAAGTTATATATAAAAGAATTAGGAAGAATAAGAAAGACTTTCTTTTTATTTATGAGATTTGCCTCAATTCACCTTATGTTAATTATTGTTACTCAATAGAATTTGTATTTAATGGTACATTGAGAACTAGATAAAGAGATTTATAAGGCTCAAATAGAGGTTCTTGAAGTCAAGGGACAAGAACCCAAGGTCTATCACTGAAAATTTTTCATTTTAAAATTTATTTTTGCAAGATTAACTTAAAATTTATATACATATATATATATATATAAGTTTATAAATTTTGTTTCGAAAACTGCATGAAAGCTATACATGATTTAATTTAGTAATTATTATGTTAAGTTTTTTCTCGAGAACTTCATTGATATTTATTTTCTCACCTTCTCATTCAGCAATGAATATATGGAGATTACTAGAAAGAGAGTTTTATTTAGTTGAGTATTATTTAACTTATAGTTTTTTTTCTTGTTAGCATCTAGAGTTAATTCACTTAGAATCTCTATTATTCCTTTTAAAGAATTTAGAAGATTGTAATTTGAAAACATCTAGTTATGAATTTTAAGGTGTATACTTATTTTAAGGGGAAAACATAAAATTCTTCATGTACTATACAAAAATGTTCAAAATGCTCCATAAACTATTTTTTGTCCAATATTATCCTTAAATTATTTCTTGATAGTTTGAACTTTGTAATATAATAGTAGTTTCTGGATGTTTTATTTTAAATCAAAATTATATGTATAAATATATACGTAGAGTGGATCAAGATTAGCACTATTGGGGATAAAGAAGATCAGAGAAGACATGTAAAGGCTCGAAACTCAAATGAAAATAAAGTTATAAATTAAATGCGGAAGCGAAATAATAGAGTTAGAGTTTACATTTCTTACACAATAATTTACAATGCCCAATAGAGTTACAGGAATGCTCATTCTAAAAGAACAAACGAAAATTAAAGAAATAAATGAAAGACAAATAACTAAGCAATTCTAGAATAACATTCACTAGATCTCAAAGGGAGTCCGGGTGGTGAACTATTCACAACTTCCTTATTGATCGGGATTTTGATCTTGGTCCTTTTGATCTGAAATAGTTAATGAATGAGTAGTTACACTAACTCAGTAAGAATATTACACTAATCACAAATACGAAGAATAGAATATTAGTAAAAATCATAAAAATAATCAATGAAGCCCTTAATTTAATATAAATTTATTTACTATAAAGAAAGTCATTTATTCTATATTGTATAATAAGTTTTTCACAATAATAACTTATGAAAACTCATATTCATGCATTATTATTTATCACATATAAGAAAATAAAAAATAATAATTTTATATTTTTACCCATTTACTAGTACCCCTGAAGGTCCATAGAGATGTCTTCCTACTCGTGAACCCAATATCCAATTAAACAATTAATCGGCCGTCTCCATACCCTGTCAGGTAATGGACGCCAACTATTTCACCACCTCGATACCCCGTCCAGTATGAAGGTGAACTATATCTCCCAAACCTTACTAGTAAGGGACTTTGCAGCTTTGTCTTTTCCTAGGTACCCAGTAAGTCTTTTTCATACAGATTTCCATCAGTATAACAATCAATCATATAATAATCGTATCTCATTTTATACTCACAATTTACTTAAAC